TGTAAGAAGCCTTCTCCCTTGTACCTGACTGTGATGCACACAATCCTAGAAATCCAAGAAAGTTCCATCCGTGTTATTCCTCTCTTGCCAATTTAAATGCGTAATCCACTTATTATTCCAGTTTCAAAAGTCCACTTGCTGTCACGGTGACGGATGGCAAATGCGACTTTGCAGTTTTGCATTTTTTAACGTGTTTTAGAAAGGCGGGGCATAGAGGAGAAACGATAATGTACAGTATGTGAAAAATAATGTGTTTTTTTAACCTTAAACCGCATAAGCACATTTCATTACACCAAATACACAAAATAATGTTCTTTTTAGCAACATCATATGACCACTTGCTGTCACGGTGACGGATGGCAAATGCGACTTTGCAGTTTTGCATTTTTTGTATCTCGAGTCAATTTGCATAATAATTTAGACTGTTTGCCCATTTGGATTATATTAACGATTGCTCGTCCAGTGCCATGGCTGCTGACGTTAGCTTTACTTATTTGCTATCATCTCTGTGCTCTCTGAGCTGAGTCTGAGCAAAAATTTTAGATAACAACAAGACGGTTCATTCATAATATTATTTTAAAAATAATCAATAATAACTCATGAAGGTATCCATTATCACCGTGCGTGTGCATTAACTCCGCCCACCCTGCTTCTGATGACGTCGCTCACCTTATTTCAAATTACCGACTCACACTTTTCTCATCCTAATTTTACAAGTTGAAAGTTACAAAACAACACACGCACAGCGCTGACTGACTCTGATAACGGCCAGGTGTTCTCCGAGTCCGATCGACTCGGGTATTACGCACAATGTTAAACAGACCCGGGACCCGAAGTAATAGATTGGGACCCGACCCGGACCCGGCTGACCATTTAAAATATAGCCCCGAACCCGTACGGATCCCAGGTCCCGGGTCCTCGGGTCTCGGGTCCTCCGTGTAGACCTCTAATGTGAGCATTAAGGCCTGTTCACACCAAGACGAATGTTTGTCATGAAAATTCGTTGCGATTAAACATTTTAAATTGAATCAGTAGTTCTTAATGCATCTGTTCAGACTGACATGAACATTTGCCTGTTGTCAATGTAACAGAGGGGTTCTAAAGTCTTTTCCATCACACTGTGAAGAAAACATCTGACCAATAAAATTTGCACTTTTGATCATGTGCCAACAGCCACTGCTGTTACATAAAACTATGACTTGGTGGCACTTAGTGGATATTGAGTGACTGTTGCTTTTATGTTTGATGTTGGAATTAAGGCTGCTACTATATTTTTTTAGATCCATTAAACTATACATTTTTTGTTTTGATTAGTCAAATAATCAAGCATTTTTTATTATTATTCAATTCTGTTTTAAAGCTTTACGTATGAATACTTAATTGTCGTGCAGGTTTGAGTATTTGTAGTAGATAAAACTGCGCCTCTGATTCACACGCACAACAAGCAGACTTCATATCTAAATTTAGTCTATAATAGTCACACACACTAGACCATATTGCGATTTTATTAAAGGGGTCATATGATGCGATTTCAAGTTTTGCTTTGTCTTTGGCCCTTTAAGACTCGTCCATGCCTTCCTAAAATCCTCATTTAAACACGCCCCCACTGTCACGCTGTCTACATCACTGTGTGGGAAGATTTGCATAACCCCGCCCAAATGTTTACATAAAGAAAGAAGGTGTAACTTTTATTCTCGCTGTAGTATTGTTGCCGCCGCCACCACCATGTCATGGAGATGCTGTGTGTTTCCAAATATGGTAAACGCACTGGATAGCTGGCCAATCAAAGCACACCTCGCTTTTCAGAACGATGAGCTTTGTAAAAATCGACGCGTTTCAGAAAGGCGGGACATAGAGGAGAAACAATAAAGTACATTATGTGAAAAATAATGTGTTTTTTAACCTTAAACCGCATAAACACATTGCATTACACCAAATACACAAAATAATGTTATTTTTAGCAACATCATTTGACCCCTTTAAGACTCGTCCATGCCTTCCTAAAATCCTCATTTAAACACGCCCCCACTGTCACGCTGTCTACATCACTGTGTGGGAAGATTTGCATAACCCCGCCCAAATGTTTACATAAAGAAAGAAGGTGTAACTTTTATTCTCGCTGTAGTATTGTTGCCGCCGCCACCACCATGTCATGGAGATGCTGTGTGTTTCCAAATATGGTAAACGCACTGGATAGCTGGCCAATCAAAGCACACCTCGCTTTTCAGAAGGATGAGCTTTGTAAAAATCAACGCATTTCAGAAAGGTGGGGCAAAGAGGGGAAACAATAATGTATGTGGAAAATGATGTGTTTTTTTTTACCTTAATCCGCGTAAACACTGCATTACACCAAATACACAAAATAATGTTATTTTTAGCATCGTCATGTGACCCCTTAGTTTACAGCCCTACTTTTGATTTATTCATCCAAAATTAGCCAAATTCCATGATATTCCACGTTACACAGTAAATTCCATTTTAATGAGTGGATTATGCTTCCGCTTTTCCCACATCTCTGAAATCATATGGTCCTCCTTCAGCATATTTTGAAAACGATAATGAATACACAGGCCCAAAAACCTTTACGCAAGTGCGTTAACGTAGGCACTTAAGTTCAAGTTCACGCATGGTTTCAGTCTGAAATGCGTCAAAACACATTTCATATTGCAGCTCAGGTTATGTACATCTGTTTTAATAGTACAGACATCTGAATGTAACTCTATTGGCCCCTTGGGTTTGTTACCGCCACAGTGACTCAAGAACGCATGTTAAGTATATACAACTGAACTGTGTACTTGGTGTTTGCATACTTGTGCAGATCGCGTTTCTGGTCATATCATCACCGATTGCAGTGTGTAAAAATCACCTTTCCAGAAGCACACAAAATACTCATAATACTGCTGGAGAAAGAGATGTTTCTTGCTCTCTCTTTCTCTCTCTCTTTCGCTGCAGGTCTCTCAGTAACGCTTGTGCATGAGTGATGGTGCAGCCAGGCTAATAGTTCTTTAATGACTTCATTAAATTGTGTTTTGCGGCTTATGATCGCTGTGCCAATCTGTCATAGGGGCTAATGTAGGCACGTTAAGATAGCCCACTTTTATTTAGGAATTAATTCCGCATCTCCAGAGGCCTGAGAGAGGGATGCAGTGACGGTCAGAGTGTTAGCAGAGATTGGAGAGAAAATAATGCCATGGCATTACAGTTTGTGTGTGTGCGTGTCATATAATGAGATTAGATTAGCTCTGGGTCTAATGAAACCTGTGGTGATCTATCAGCATTATGTACGACTTCATCCACCCGCACTATTCATCAAACTACTAACACACACCCCGCAGAGAGAGAGAGGGAGAGAGAGAATGTGTTTGAGATGGGACTGATGGTGGGGGTGTGATGGCATTTCTGCTTCCTGTCCTTTTTCTTCCTTTAACACCTTTTTTTTTTCTCGCCTTTCCTCCCCTCATGGTTTGTCTTGACAGATGTGATGTGTTGGCTCTAACACGTTTCCTCTATGTGTCTGTCTCATCTCACTCCATTACTGCTGCTTACTGCATCTCAAACAGTCTTTCACTGCTACTCATGCAACTTTTCTCTCTTTTTCTCATTCATCTCATCCCTCTTTCTTTCCTATCTGTCTTCTTGTGATCTCTTTTCTTTTCTGCCCTCTTCATTTATTTCTAATGGCATGGCGACACATCTCACTGTGATAGCAAACTTATGCTATGATGGTTACATGTTTTAAATATTGTAAAATACATCAATGTGCAATAAATAGTAGTATATAAATAAATAGTACTTTTCTGCCCACTTCATTTTCTCCTGAAATTACATGTCACTGATACCTACAGTGTGTTATCATACAATTTATGATAAAATGTGATTAAATTATTTTAAAATGTAAAATTATAAACAACACCAATGTTCAATTAAAAATAACTTCTTAATAATATTTTATTATTATTATTATTGAACTATTAGTGCTTGATTACAAAATTATTATATTTAATAAAATATTCTCAAATTAATTATAATATTTGACTATTATTATTTAATTCAATTATTATTATTATTTTTGTACAATTCATTATAACAGCTTAATAACAGCTTAATATATCTGTGTTGGAAGTAGATCATGATCTACATTTTTGAATGTCATCTGAAGATCAAGAATTGTTATTAAGAAGAAGAAGAAGAATTAAGAATCATTAACAGACATTACAATATGTACAATCAATATTGACCTATGTCGTCTGTCTTTTTGTCTGTGCAGCAGTGAGGAATGACAGGAATAAGAAGAAGAAAGAAGAGAAAAAGCCAGAATGCACAGAAAGCTACACGCTGAGCTCAGACACAGAGCAGATGATTGAAAGAATCAGGAAAGCCCACCATGAGACCTTCCCCTCGCTGTGTCAACTCGGCAAATACACCACGGTAAGAGCGTGTGAGGGTTGAATCATATACTAAATGTTCCCTATTTGTGATGGTTTTTCCTTTAGCTGTTTATAACCCATTTTTTTATTGTATTTTTCAACATTGTCACTCTTTCATTTACATGTTTCAGTAAATATATTTGTAGGAAAATATTGCTGTTTGTTACAATGTGTTATTTTGGTCCGTATTAATGAAAATGATTAAATACACTATCATTCAGGGATGTGATTGTTCTGTATATTTATACAAATTACTGTAATTTCCTACCTGAGAAGTATGACCCATGTGAAATGGCCTTAAACAATTACGGAACAAACTGCTGCTGAGTTTTTCAATTCATTTAAAGGGATACTCCACCCCAAAATGAAAATGTTGTCATTAATCACCATGTCGTTCCAAACCCGTAAAAGCTTTGTTCGTCTTCGGAACACAATTTAAGATATTTTGGATGAAAACCGGGAGGCTTGTGACTGTCCCATTGACTGTCAAGTAAATAACACTGTCAAGGCCCAGAAAGTATGAAAGACATCATCAAAATAGGTCATCTGCCATCAGTGGTTCAATCTGAATTTCATGAAGCTACGAGAATATTTTTCGTACACAAAGAAAACAAAAATAACGACTTTATTCAACAATTCGTCTCCTCCGCATCACCGTAGCACCATTTTGGAGAGTATCCACTGAACGCAAACTGTGTATACTGTTCTACTTGTCTGCGTCAGCCGCACCACACGGATACGTTTTCTACGTTTATTTACACTTAGATTTGAACGAAAACAGCGTATCCGTGTCGTGCGGCTGACACAGACAAGTCATCCAAAATATCTTAAATTGTGTTCCGAAGACAAATGAAGCTTTTACGGGTTTGGAACGACATGGGGGTAAGTGATTAATGACAACATTTTCATTTTGGGGTGGAGTATCCCTTTAATAAACATATAGTCTAACACGCATGCCTCATTTTGCAGTAAATGCTGCTTCACATGAACTCCATCTCTGCAAATGCTGTAAATTTGAAAATGCAAAATGTGCCAAGATAAAAGCCAAAATAAAAACACTATGGTTTGAGTAAAAGCAAATAAATGAAGACAGCCATAAATAATAATTTTTAGTTATTATTGTAATTGCACTGTTATTCTGTAAATTATTATTTTTATTATTATATGTTCTTTTTTGTTTTAGTGTACATTATTGTTATTAGCATTAGTAATATATGTCTTTATTAGAAACATTTATGGGAAGAATTTTTGGTCTCTCACTAATCATGTCTGATCGTTCTTCCTTATAATTCACTTAATTTTTTTTTTTTTTTTTACATTAAACATTTTAAACCTACTTGGCAACATTGTTTTAAATGTTGGTTAAAAATATTGAGATAAATAAGAAATATCTTAAGATATGCATTTAATATCATCAAAAGGCTGATAAATATTGACATACTTTAGCCGTATCACCAGCCCTTGTGAAATCATTGGATTACACATAATGTGGCATTTTGACTTCTTCACAACCCAATAAAATCTTCATCTGTGAGAATATGACCTCGCTGTTTTGGCTCTGTATTGGTTTTTTAATTAATGAGCTGACACTGAATGATGAATCAATACTGTAATTACAGATATGTGTGTCAGTTTGTCAATAACTCCCAGAACTCTGGGCTGATTCTGCTTCTGTTTACAAGCAGACTTCACTAAAGCTGACAGCCAGAGTTCATTGAACATTAAACATTTACCATAGCGGTCTGTGGTAATTTTGTCTCAAAAATTGTCTCTCTCGGTGTATAGAGTAACAGCTCGGAGCGGCGCGTGTCACTGGATGTGGATTTGTGGGATAAGTTCAGCGAGCTCTCCACCAAGTGCATCATAAAGACAGTGGAGTTTGCCAAGCAGCTGCCGGGATTCACCACCCTTACCATCGCAGACCAGATCACACTGCTGAAGGCTGCTTGCCTCGACATACTGGTGAGAACACACTCTTAACCTGGCTTATGCAAAGCCTGCGCTGGTTCGTACCTTACAGCAAGGCTACACTACATCACTGAAGCTGAATACATACATTTGGCCTGTTGAAGGTTGTAGGTTCAAATCCCACAAGCATTCTCTTGTGAAAAAATGTGTTTAATTATACTGCCTGTACACTAGTAATGTACTTCTTTTAAAATTATGGAAATTAAAAGGTAACTTAAAGGGATAGTTCACCCAAAAATGAAATTCCGTCATTAATTACTGACCCTCATGTCGTTCCAAACCCGTAAGACCTTCGTTCATCCTTGGGAAACACAAATTAAGATATTTCTGATGAAATCTGAGAGCTCTCTGACCTTGCATAGACAGCAACGCAGCTGTAATGTTCCCAGGTCCAGAAACGTAGTAAGGACATCAGTAAAACAGTCCATGTGACATCAGTGGCTCAACTTCAATTTTGCGAAGCTACAAGAATACTTTTTGTGCGCAAAGAAAGCTAAATTTATTCAACTATTCTTCTCCCCGAGTTACCGTCTTGTATGTGCGCGCTTTCCCCAGAACGTAATCAGCGTTGTTTACGTTCAGGAGAAAGCGCGCGCATGCTGAACGTAAACAGCGCTGATTACGTTGATTATGTTTTGGGGAAAGCGTGCGTATGCATCGTGGTACTCTCTAAAATGGCGGAAGACAGTAACTCGGGGAGAAGAATTGTTGAATAAATTGTTATTTTTGTTTTCTTTGCGCACAAAAAGTATTCTCGTAGCTTCGCAAAATTGAAGTTGAGCCACTGATGTCACATGGACTGTTTTACCGGATGTCCTTACTACGTTTCTGACCTGGGAACATTACAGTTGCATTGGTGTCTATGCAGGGTCTGAGATCTCTCACATTTCATCCAAAATATCTTAATTTGTGTTCCGAAGATGAACGAAGGTCTCACGGGTTTCGAACGACATGAGGGTGAGTAATTAATGACCGAATTTTCATTTTGAGGTGAACTATCCTTTTAAGGAAGGACATAGTTCACCCAAATAATTAAAAATTCTGTCATCATTTACTCACCCTCAGGTTGTTTCAAACCTGTACGAGTTTCTATCTTCTGTTAAACATAAAAGAAAATATTTTGAAGAATATGGGTTAAAGGGGTCATATGATGTTGCTAAAAAGAACATTATTTTGTGTATTTGGTGTAATGAAATGTGTTTATGCGGTTTAAGGTTCAAAAAACACATTATTTTCCACATA